GTTTGTCGGTCTGTCATGTTGTCACGGCCCGTCATAAACTTCGTGTGCGCCACAAAAAAAAAAAATAGATTAATCTCACGACTGACCACCAGTCTACTTGAAATGAAGAAGGCAAAGTTAGCCCAGAAATATTCGACAGTGCTTTAGAATTTAATTGCATTAATTAACAAAAGTTTGTTAAATTCCGTCGCAAAATTTATTTCTAATCCCAAGCTTTCTCCTGTAAAGCTTACTTCGTAGCATGTTATGGTGTGTAAGACGAAGACAACTTACAAAAAGATCGCTACCAATACACAATAAAATAAAAGCAAGAAGACGAACAATACGAGGACGAATAAGAACAAGAACAATACTAAAAAGAAAGAGAATAACGTAATGATAAGCTGAATTCCGACACAGTTTTCCAATGACGTTAATGAAGCTGAAACACCCATCCCTACAAGCTAGGTTTCAGGCCTGGCAGCACTAGTGAATCATCAAAGAAATCCCTCAAAACAATGGGGTAAATTACCTCTGTCAAGCCATTTATATACTCTTCTCTTTGTAGCCAGTCAGCAGCGATATTGCCGAGAGAAATACCGGAGCACACTGCATGCGTCGTCCCTACTACTACGTGGTTCTTAGAGAGAAAGGAAGAAAAAAGTGAGCCCCGTAACTGTCTGCTTCAGGGAGCGACACCTCAACAGTACTCACAAGGGATGAGGGTGAGGAGAGATTAAAAGGATAGGAATAAAGGTGTAGAGAGAGAGGGAAACAGTATGCCAGAGAGCGAGCGCGACGACATATCGAGGGGAGGGGATATGAGAGATAGGAAAGATGGAAACATGGTCACAGGAGTCCGAGGACGGGGCACCACTTGCGAGAGATCTTGTCGGCGTCAGTAGATAGCGTAGAAGAAGTCCAGTCGGTCAGAGCTACACTGTCGGCCGTAGCCGGTACGGGCCAGAGCTACACTGACGTCGGAGATCGCGAGGGCACAACTGGTCGGCACGGAATCCCAGTTTTGAAACGAATACAGAGCTCTATGCTTGATTCCAAAGAAAGGTATGACATTTGCATTCAGTTGTTAAAGGGCCCCTGCACAATCCAGAGGTAAAAATTTAGTAGTGGGGTTGCTGAAAAATTGAAAAAACGGAAGACCCTAAAGCCTTTTTTTATTTAGGAGTTGACCGCGATAGCAACCTCCTGCTTTAGTTTGTACTTCAAACATTTAGTGCATGAAACTTTTTCCAATTTGCTATGCTCACCCACTACGTGGCCCTTAAGCGAATGGGCGCAGTAGCATGTGTGCCTTTTGTAGTGGGTAACTGGCTTTCAACCTCGGAGCCATTATAACGATCACATGTTCTGACGCCCGTTGGTAATGGACGCTTGTACGACGCATCATTACTGCAATATTTCATGATGCATTGTGAAGTATGCACATGCGTGCGTTTGTGAAGCATGAAAGCTACTTTCACTACATTTCCAAGCAGAGGAAGTTTTTTTCACGCTTTGAACATGCAAAAAAAAAAACAAAGCCTGGCCTTGTGGTACAACATCCGCCTGCCACGCAAACGACCCAAGTTCGATCCCCACATGGACCCAAACAACCCTGGCTCAATCCCCAATCTGCTCCAGAATTCTTTATCATTCGATTATTTTTATTCATTTTATTTGCACCTTTTTCGATTTTTCGGTCACGCATGCGATCATTTTTCGCTCACAACCAACGACGCCGACACCGTAATTTCTACGAAACGAGCTCTTTAACGCTGTCGCGTTAAAATCGGTTTACCCGAACTGCTTCGTCATATGCGTGTAAGCTCAACTGCGTCAATGTGAGTCGTCCCAAATTCTGATCCAATGGGCTCGTTTCAAATTTTTCTGGACTAGCATGCAAGTTCTCTCTCTCTTTTCTTTTTACCTTTCTATCGCTCATTTATTGAAGGGTAACAAATCGAGTTAAGCGTCCCGTTTATTATTCTTGAATCTCAATTGCTCTTTCTATTCTACAAGTGCTGACGTGGTACGGACATACCACCGAGAGAAGAGGCATGCAGGAGATGCTACAGGTCTGAGGCGCACGGACGTGATAGGTGGCGTGCGCACACGGAGATTTAACATAGCGTGTTCGCGTATTGGCCTCTGCTTCAGCGAGCAACTTCCCCGCTCTGCCGTTACGAGGCTGTAGACATTGGGTGCATGACCCATGAAGTTATCTCTGTCACGCTACGTCCTGTGGCTGAAGACAAGTCTTGCGTAAAGCTGAAAGAGAAGGTGCGTGCTCTTTCTCTTTCATTATTGCCCATGTAGCAGAACGCCTTTCAGTGGAATTGTAATCTAATCTTTTGAATTCGAAAGTAACGTTTTTGCAACGCAAAAAGAAAAGAAAAATCTGAGGAATAAATGCGGGCATGCAGCGTTCCTTTTAAGGAAACTCCCTCTAAATCTTACAGACTTGCGCAAAACTCTTTTCTATAGACCTTTTTCCCGGAGAGGAGGATCCCTCTTCTCTGGGCTGTTGCACGGAAGTACGAAAGCTGACGTCACAGCTTTGGTCCTGATTTTTTGGGGAGGTCACGCATGTCAACAACAGCCAAGAGGAGCTCATGGCAGCGCCCAGAAAGCCGTCGTTGACAAGGTGTATAGAAAAGCAGTGAGAAGCCAGGCTACTCAGCAAGGATCCAGATGTGCAAGCCAAAATAATGCAGCGGCCGCAGGTGGCCGCTAGGATATAACGACGAGTAGCCGCTTCCCTACAAGTGGGCAAGCCTCTAATGGCATCCTATTTTAATTTACCATTCGGCGCACTTGGTCTTTCTGTTCCGACGTGAGAGCGGCCCGCAGCGTGCTAAAGCGCGTTCCCGAAAACCCTATAAGTCTATTCCTCCATTCATCCTTCCATTTGGCACACTCTCACAGAAACGGCGTTTCCATACCACGTATCTCACTCAACGTTACGTGCTTCAGTAGTCACAACACCTTTCAAGCTTTCTATCATGGTATACTACCAAAACGGGTCAAGTCCACCTTGATCGCTCTAGAAGAATGCGCCACCATGCGATGATCTCAAACATCTGTCTTTTTATCCCATAACCACAGTACTAGTCCACGATACCACTACTTTCCATAAGCTCTGTACACTTGCGACAAGAGCATCTAGTGAGTTCACAACGGGCCACTCTTGCAGCCTGTCCCACTCCAGCCTGGTCCTGATTTAATTTTTTTAGGGGCGAAGCTCCTTACGCCGTGGGTCGTATGTCCCGTCTCGTCGTAGTCGTCGTAGTAGTCAGTTGCATTGCATTCCATGTCAATAAAAGTGGTGTCACAGCATATCCAGGGAGTGATTGATGGTGAGTGAGGCGAACAGTCCATCCATTCGTCCGTGCTTCCATGTGTGCATGCGTGCGTCCGTCCATCCGTCTTCTCCAACAACAATAAAAGTTAATGTTTACACAACACACAGTGTTTCTCACGTCTTTAGCTTGATGATCGACTAGGGGCCATTAACCATCCTGCGGAGAGCTTCACCCCACTCGTCATCATTCACCTCTTGGATATGCTGTGATTTTTTTTTTTGTAATTCGCATATGTGGGTGAAAACTGCTAATAATGATACAGCATTCAAATGTACGTTTTCCTCCTTATTAAGACGAAAGCCTTAGAAGTTTCATCAAACGAGAAATTTGATCGTCGACGTCCCGCATTTAGTAGTGTCGGAGAAGAATGACGCAAAAATAATCATCACGAGACGACGTCACCACGTGACTTCACAAATACAATAAGGTGGTCCGATCACAAAGGCAATGCTAAACCGTGTGAGGTGCCTCCGATCTCGGAGAAAGTGCTAAATCACGTTAGGTGCCGAAAGCTTTCGGTGGGTGGTGGGGCAGCATCAATACATCGTCTGACAAAAAAAAAATGGCTCTCGTTGTCAAGTCATCTTAAATGAATGCATATGGGACCCTGTGAGGTTTTCGTTTGTTTCCTTCACAGAATCTGTTCTGTAAAGCAACGAAAGAACTGGACTGGAAAAACGGCGCGTGTGCAGAACACCGAGTGTGTAATCTCTTTCGTGTCCGGTTCTTCTCTTGCCTTGCGCAACAGGCTATATATGGTTAACCAACAATATCCCACTGTAAAGCTTCTCCATTGCCAACGAGCCAACAAAGGAAACCGAGCGAAAGAAATGGAGCGTTCGCGCTGCTAAGCCAACAATTTCATCTCGGAACACGCAGCTCAATACTGAACCAGTGGTGCGTGACCGTCCCCTCCCATGCATTTCTCATTCGTGCGTACGCGCAGGCAAGCTAACACCGCGTTCGGAGCACGGTTATCGACCACGCAGCTCGTTTCGTGCTAGAATGCGCACGACGCCGTTGTCGCGGTCGCCGAGTGTGCTGGCTCGGCCATTTATCTTGAGGTGACGTAAAGAGCCGTCCGCTCGGATGGGCTCTTCGCTGATATGTCTCAGAAAACTTCGTGGTCAAAACATCTTCGGCATGCAAGAAGAGGTCGTTCGGGTCTTTCCCCATCACGATCAGAGGCAACCTCCGTGAAAAAAGGAGGCAGTGGTACAATAGGAAAGGAAAATTAAGGATGCTCACCGGAACAAGTACCCCTTTCACAATATCCTACTGTGGAGAGTTAGGAGGGAGCGATTAAAAAGATAAAAAGGGACGAAACATTAATGCAGTTCCTTATGCAATCGCCTGAGACGACTCGAAGACTAAGGCCTCCTTCTTTAAATCGATGTTTTGTTTTTATTTCAGTGATAATATACAAGCTCCCCGCCACTGATGCTGGTCAGCTGACAAAGCAGCGATGAAGCACTCCACCTCTCTGACTTGAAAACAAAAATGCAGTAATTTATGGACACCAACGTACTACAGGACTTCCCCCCAATCGATTATCGAAGTTGCTATGAACCTTGGACAGCAGCAATCGATAGTGGTGTGAACGCTGTTCTTGAAGAATGATACTGTATACATACATAGTTTTTTTTTTCCTCAACGCAGATTATCGGGCCGGGTGGCGGTAGCCTCTGGCGGGCAGCGCAGCGTCCTGCTCGAGCGACTGCAACCGGAGGCGGAGTACGTGGTGCGCGTGTTCGCCCGAGCCTCGCCTAGCCTCGCCACGAGAGCCAACCGAACCACAGACGCGCCCGTCGGACTGGTGCGCTTCGTGGCGCCCGGAACTGCGGCCACCGCAAGTGCGTATATAGAGGCAGTGACTATAACGTATATATGACGCACAGCGACCAATTCACCACGGCTGTCCTACTCAGATGCCTTCAACATATTGTCCGGCTAGGTATACTCAACACTAATATCCGTCAAGTCATGGCGTAGCGAACCTATTTGGATATCGGCACTTCGGAGAGTACATTTTCAAGCGCTTGTCACGGAAGCCAAATACGCTGCAATTATTTACATTTGAGACGGTGCTTGCACTGGGCTCTTAATGATTCAAAATCGCTTGTGCGCCCCTCAGGTAATCTGGTCGACCCACATGCAGAAAAAGATTGGTGTTGCCCCGCCACGGTGGTCTAGTGGCTAAGGTACTCGGCTGCTGACCCGATGGTCGCGGGATCGAGTCCCGGATGTGGCGGCTGCATTTCCGATGGAGACGGAAATGTTGTAGGCCCGTGTGCTCGGATTTGGGCGCACGTTAAAAACCCCAGGTGGTCTAAATTTCTGTAGCCCTCCACTACGGCGTCTCTCATGCTCATATGGTGGTTTTGGGACGTTGAACCCCACATATCAAATCAATCAAAAAGATTGGTGTTCACCACGTGTAGATGTAGTCTTGCACAATTACAGCGGCCATTGTTCCGCCCTTTTCAAACGAGGCAATAAATACGCTACAAATTTAGACGTGACACGGACACTATTTCGCGTATCGCTAACTCTGCCAAGGAGGCTAAACGGGCATGGTCTGGCACTTGTGCAGCAGCCGCAGCAGCCAATGGCAGCAGTAGCGGCAACAACAACAGCAGCAGCAGCAGCGGAGGCTCCCGTGGCGGCCTGGTGTCGGCTCGGAGCGTGGTTGTTCGCGACGAGGAGATCGTGATAGTGGTGCTCGTGCTGAGCGTCTGGCTGGCCGTCATCCTGCTATTCTTCAACAAGTGGGGAAAGATCCGCATGTTGGAGCCATACCAGCCGCAGTACCACGAACAGTTGGAGCCGCCTTCGCCACCAGTGCTGCAGGTACCCTCTCTATCTATCTCTGGCGCACACACACACACACACACACACACACACACACACACACACACACACACACACACACACACACACACACACACACACACACACACACACACACACACACACACACACACACACACACACACACACACACACACACACACACACACACACACACACACACACTAAATTACCAAACTGCCCGAACTGCCGCATTGGTGAGCTTGCTCGGGCTTTTCTGATCGATTAGCATCACGCCACTGGAGCTTGCCGCCATTATAAACAACAACGGTGGGACACTGAATTCAATTATAGAATCAATCAAATCTAACCACGTATGATGATATGTTCAGTTCAAATAATCGCTCGTTATAGAGATTACTCGTTTAAAGGCGTGCCTATGAATACCTTCAATACTACTGGAGACATATTTCCCATGATTATCCTCTTCACCTACACTTTTCAGTGTTCCACTAAAAGGACTTTAATAATGAGCTCGTCGATGACATCATCAACAAGAAAATTGGCCACAAGACAGCAGCAGCACAGACGAACACCTAATAAATCAAAGACCACAGTAGTCTTTATTTGCCAACTCCCCAAATTTTTCCGGGAGGCTCTCCAATATTGAGCAATACTCGCAATTTTATGGACACAGCCATGAATCTTCGAAAAGACAGTGCTTGCACCATGAAAATAAAATAATACAGACATCGATTCTAAAATTTTCTGATCGCACACGGAGTGCTTAAGTCGCTTTTGCCGCAGCATACAAATGTCATGCGAAAAAACTCGCTAAGGCTGACAAGAGGTTATTATAGCTGTCACAGGAGAATGCAGATTTTGTCCCCTAATTATGCATTAGAGCACGCGCCTTAAAATTACGAGTACCACCGCCATCGCTGACGTCTGCCGACTTTATTTGTTTATGACGTCACTGCATATTTGAGAAAAAAGTACAGTTTAATAGGTTCACCTGTCGTCTCTCATCCCCGCACGCCTTCCCTGCTTTACTTATCTCCCGAATTTCGAGATCCCCGCAGGCTGGAAGGTATGCAATGTATGGAAGCGGCAGACGCGAGCGTGTCCACGTCCATGCCTACAAATGTTATCACTAAGTGGGTTAGGTTAGTGAAACAGCCCAATTTATTTTTTGTTGTTGTTATTGTTCTCAGTGTGTGTGTGTGTGTGGATGTGTGTGTGTGTGTGTGTGTGTGAGAGAGAGAGAGAGAGAGAGAGAGAGAGAGAGAGAGAGAGAGACTGGCTATGTGTACATGTGCAGTGGCAGTTAAGAACGAACACAGTGTCACAGAGCGACTGACAGGCTTACAGAAGCCTCTCGAGGGACCATGTTGTGCGCAATACTTTCGCAGTGTCGTCCCCGTACGTTCAGATACTGATACCCCAATCTCTGTGCGCAGGTGAAGAGCGCGGTGCTGGAGCGCGAGCTGCGCCGCCTGTCGTCCAACGCGAACGGCAGTGGCGCGGCCGCGCTGCACCGGCTCCATCGTCTGCGCCACAACTCGGTGTTCGTGGGCAGCCAGATACTGGTGCCGCTCTCCCGACGCACGAAGAGCGCCGAAGACATCAAATCCATGGTGCTGCAGATCGAGCATCAGCCCAGCACGCAGTCCACCGCACTATGAGACTCCGAGGGCCTACGCTACTGTCGTAGGCCGTCGCACTGCTGCTATACTACTGCGTCGCCACGCTCCGCGGAGGACGATTCAATCGCTGCTGAGAGAAACCACTTCGGGGCATCATGTCCGTCGTTCTTCGGTGATGCGTGGCATCTTGCACTCACCAAGAGTGAAGGCCTGCTGCGGATGTCGGAAAGACGCGTTTTGAGTGCGTTTGTTCGGCACTGCGCGTATAACAGAGGAAGCTCCATTGTAAGATTGCTATGCGATCACTAGAAAAGTACGTTTTGGATCGTGCGTGGATGGGCAGATGTGTGCGTTTCACATCGTAGAAGAGAGCTGCGTTTTAGAGTGTAGTGAAATGGTGTCTCTGTATACCGTCTGACGGCATATGCGAAAGCGACCACGATTTCTCGCGCACCACTCCGATTAGCGAGAGTAAAGCAGCCGCGTTGTGCCAGTTGCAAGTTCAGTGGCCAAAGCAACCATTTAACGCACGTGACAGTGCATCATTCGCGCTGCTCTTGGAAAGGGCCTGTCAACTAGATGAATCGTTGATCAGCTGCGACTATATTAAGGGGCCAGTTTTGAGTATGTAATCGCTACAGCATTTCTAGATGGATTGTGTGTACAGGACCATAGAATGGTGTATAAACAACATTATATGCAACATGACGGAGAATCAAGAAGGCTATATGGTATAAACGACGTTTCGCGAACGCTTACTTAGCAGTGTTCTTTGTGCATGTATACACCGGAGCCTAGAAGTCATTGCTTCACGTGATTATGCAGTGATAAGGCTGTCTGAGTCGAGAATGACACATCAGTGGTCAGGTATTTGTAAAGACTCTTGTCATCACGTTAACTAAAGGCACTACACGTATACGTATGCTGTAGTAGTTTTTTTTTTTTTTGAAGGCTTTAGAAGCGCATGGAGAGCTTTGACAGCCGAATCAAAGCCTTCAAATCGGTCGAATGTGCCACGGGAATGTCTGCTAAAAGCGCCCTGGGGCCACTTACAGCTACACCGTCCCATTTCGCGCACTTTCACGATGCACACTGCTCTCAAAGTAGCTCGACAGCGGATTTTCGAGACAAACTGATTCTTGCGGTATAAACGTTTACACGTGAGTAAGTTTCATTGCTACAGAATTACCACTCAGCGCAGTTTTCTCTTTTCTTTTTTCACTTTGTTCAAAAAAAAGTTAGATATTCTGCGGACGGCATTTTAGCAAGGCGGTAAGTTACCAGGTGCCACAACTTTCAGAAGGAACGCAGTCTAGGATCGAACCAATTGACGAACTCGTAATCTTAACCGTTAGCTACACGCCGACATTGCTCAGACAAAAGTGGTAAACATGTTCGACTGAATTCTGACGGGTTGAACTAAAACAGATCTCAAGGAGGCAGGCCAAATATACCTTCTGCGGCAAAGACGATACCAAGGTATGTGGGTGGGAGGTTAGATCAAACTTAGTAGTGTGGCACCAACGCTGAACTGGGGAGATAACGTCACTCACACAGCCGTCCTTGCAGATTTTTTTTTCTGAAGGCAGAGATCGGGCCACTAAAATGGAAGTACTTAGATAAATTATAAATGTGCGAGTTAGAAGCTGCTTGATACGCCTTCTTTAAAATTTCGCCTTCAAAAGAAAAAAAACGGACCTGAGTTCACTCGAAAAGGAGAGCGTTTTGCTGAAGTGCGAACTTGAAGACAGAAAGTTCCCATATCGAACTTAATCGCGTCTGCTTATTCAATTTTTTTCTCGAAACGTCGAAATACTGGTAATACGCTTTTCTTAAAGCTTTCTGTTCCTTGTGCTCCCCCCCCCCCCGTGCCTTCAGAGCATACTGAAAGGAACAATAACAGCACAGACGATATCTTACATGATCGTTCCTCCAGATAGATAAGGTGTCGATGTCCAGTTTGCGCGGAAGCTATGAAAAAACAAACCACAAAATTTGAGTGTTGTGCCAAGTTGGGTTAACCAAACTACCTCTAAATATCACTGAATTGTCTCTGTGTTATTTTTTCAGCTTTAACGCGAAGGCATTAAAGAGCTCGTTTCACAGAAATTCAGGCGTCGGTGTCGGCATCGTTGGGTGTGAGCGAAAAAGTATCTCCCTGTCTGTGACCGAAAAATCAAGAGACATGCAAATAAATTAAATATTAAAACTTCCGGGTCTAAGTGACGATCAAACCCGGGCCATCCACTTGGCAAGCAGTTGTCCTGCCTCAGAGCCACAGTAATTGTTGACAAAAGGACTATATGAATGTTATAAACTGAATAGAGTCTTTTAACGCATCATTTATTGCACGGCAGAGGCGTAGAATCGTGCCAGGCGTCGAACGATGTGAATTGAGCAACGAGTGGGTATCTTAAAGGCCCACCCACTAGAAAGCGCTCAGGCATACTTAATGTGGCTCATCAGTAGCAGAATCATAAACAAAGTGAACAGCTCCGTTGGTTCACGTGTTGCCATGCGGACGCGAGATGGGTTCTGGGCTGATTGGCAAAAGGAATAATTACGGCGTAGCGGGCCCTTAACAACTGTGCTTGCAACAGGCATTCATTCAATGACACTTTGAAACGGCCAATGTCGCGCTCACAGCCATTCGTTTTCTTATTGCACGGCTGAGGCATGTACTGGGAACCGAAGCTGTCTAGCATTTGAGAAGGCGATGCTCACGAGGCCCGATTCTCAAGCGTCCTCCATATTTTATTGCTTCCATGTAACTCAAGCGTCCTCCATATTATATTGCTTCCATGCAACATGATAGAATAATTTTGCAAAGGTTTATGCATTAGCACTTTATTGTTGTTATTTCTCTGTACGTACATCTTTTGTGTCACATACCGAGACAGAGCTGACGAGCGCGGCCAACCACGTATAGTACTCGCGCATTAAAACACGACATCATTTTGTTTATGTTTTACTGTAACGACTGGTATACGCAATTCAGCGAGATAATCACGTCGCGTCGCGACGAATATGCCGGGTCTCTTCGGGTGATAGTTTTCGCGCTGATCTTCACGTTCGAGTTGAAACTATACCAATATGAACCGAAACAAAGACGGTGGAAACGATCTTATGCGCGGTATTTAGCCCTAAATTGTCCTGTTTCGATGTGTGAGTTATGTACAGGTATATGAGGACAACACTGCAAGTTAGAGCGAGTGCGACCACAGTTACAGCGGGTTAGATCACGTGCTCGTGAAGTCACGAATTACGATTTGAAGACTCAAATGAAACGAGAAAAACGACTGAACAGCTCTGCGCAGACCGTTTCAATGCGCTATATCTACGCACAAGTACAAGCAAAACGGAGTATTTTATACAGTAACGTTAGAGTCACCGTTTGTATTCCAGCATATGAAGTAAGTGTAAGCGTCGTCTACCAGCAGAACCTTAAAGATCAAATGAACATAAAGCAAAGTATGACTCTAACATCGAGATTTCGATAGTTAAACGCGTCTTCGCTATCTTTCTTGTTACCTCAATGAGACTTTCTAAACGAATGGTGCACTATAGTATGACCTACTGCTCGTGTGGAGCAGTTGACGCGAAAACCCGTGTGGTACGAATCTAACATCGCCCTATACCGACGTTATGTGCGGACATCACCACGTTGAAACAATCTAAATGCATTGTACCATCTCATTCTGTATTATTCCGTAAGTGAACTAAAGTGGAACAGATTACCAGCATAGAGGAAATGAGCGAAAGTGACGCTGCCATCGATACAAAACCGATATAAGATCGCCTTCGGGAACCACGTTTCCATGACCTGCTGCCATAGCGACCGAGGTCACGGTGACATGTTTAACGCTGGCGGCATATAGGTTAACTCAATATAGCCTTTTCACGCTGCTGATTGATGGATCGTGTGGGGACCGTGTTAGGGCGGATAAAAGCGGAGGCAGATAGCGAGGTCATTAGGCGAGTTCTCGTTCGAAGGGAAACTAAGAGAGACAAGCGGTCCGCGAGAAAGGGTGAAGGAATGGAGAGCGCGTTCGTCAATCTGAACCACGGTCCCAGCGTTAATGACTCCCAGATGTACCAGCCCTCGCGCCACAGTGGGAACGGAGGCATGCGACTCCGCTCTCTCTCTCTCTAATTCTCTCCCCTTCTTTTGCGAGTATATTTAACGTCGAAGCGCGCAGCGTCACACATCGGCAAACCAGTTGGTACTGTGAATAATTAATTTGAACATTCACATTCAACTCATCCCTTCCTCTTGAGTCGTTCACTAGAACTACAGCAACATATACACAAGTCGATATCGCTGGCAATGTTTTCCCATTACGCGGCTGAACAGAAAAGGGGTGCGCAACCCGCTGTGAAAATCCGAGTTTGTATCGATTGCCGGTGGAACAATGGCGCATCCAGGTGCAATTTTAATCCACACGAGGAATCGTTCGGTCTTATTTGCTCCGCGCAGCAGCGAGGCTGTTTGCCTGGCTTTGCCCGCCTTCCAAACGCTTACGCAAACGCATCCGCCGAAGAAGGTCACATCGCGAAACATATAATGCTTTCATTTCGCGAAGTGCTCGCGCGCGGGACAAAATTACGAAGTCTAGCCGTTGTTCTAATGGTCGTTAAGAACCAAAATGGCGCACCTGGATTTTTTTGGCGCCGTGCAATGTTTGTTTCTTCAGCAGAGTTATGTTGTCCGAGCAAATCTCAGCTTGGTAGGCTACTGACGGGACATCAAACGTAACCGCGACTAAGTGGACTCGTAATAAAAACATTTTTCTTTTACATCCCAAGATCACCCCTTGATTTTGAGGGACGCCATAGTGTAGGACTCCAGAAATTTCGGCCACCTGGGCTACTTTAACGAGCTCCTCAATCTAAGCACATGTACGCTCCTCTACCATTTTGTCTCTATCGAAATGCCGCAGCCACATTTCTGATGTTTTCTGATGTTTGGCACAGATACAGGCGGTTCTCCCTTTATTAACAGGTTTATTAGCGGGTTATTGCAAGTTGCTACGGCGACTCCTAAAGTAAACAACGTTAGGGACATAGTCGGATTGTTTGGTCAATCTTGAAGCCAGGGCCGAATTCGCGAAACATTTCTTTAGTAGGTTGGCCCCTACAGTTGGCCACCGTTAATTATATTACCAGCGTCGTGATTGACTCAAAGAGTTTCTTTCGAACAACTTCAGCGTATGTGGTTCTGATGAGTGCGGTCGCAGGTGCCGCATCTCTTAACTCGTACGTACATTCGCCTCATACGTATCTGCAGCCAGACACCAAGTGAGACCGCGTTACAAGCCGGAGCTTTTGTTTACTTGAACAGAATGGCGAAACACTCGACTATGCGTAACTTTGTCCGAATACTGATAGTCTACCGCTGTCAGGTAAACAAAGTTTAGCGCTTGCGCAAGTGATGCGAAAAGAAAACGCCGCGGTGGTGCACTGTATATAAAGTAAGGACTTCAGCCTGCCGGACTTCAGCCTGCCGTGCAGCGTATA